TGGTTTGGTACGAAATGAACAACTCCTAATCAAAACATGTGGCGTCTTCACATCAAACAATTTCTTTCATATATGCTTTACTCATTTTACAGAAAAATTATTAAATGAGTGTAGTATGTATACTAACCTGGATTTAAACCAATGATAATGATGGATCCCACGTGGATTTTATGTGTATCCCATCACGGGATTCCATCATATTTGACGGTTCAGATTCAGTTTAGTACGTGTACCGGATTTAATATTCAACTCTTGTGTGACATTATTCTATAAATTGCAAGAGAGGGTTTTAAAGAAATCAATGATAATGTAACTTCAAGTCAAATCTGCGCTGCTTATGTCCACACTGAAGATAATTTAGATTAAGACAGATTTGCGAGGTTTTACGTCGTAGTATAGTTTGGTCCGTGACCTAATAGAACCAACGAGTGCAATTGGGCAAAAAGTGGCTTTTGCTCTCAAGCAGTCGCTGTTCGAAACCGGTCAAACGTTTAGCCCATTCCTACGTAGGGATTTGGGTTGTCTTCTGTTACTTATTTGATTTATTTTTGCCACAATGTCAACGATGATGCATGTAGATTAGGTTCTAACTTAAGACAGGAGTTCAGGTATCATGACCCTGCTTTAACCAAGGAATCAATACTTCAACCTACCTAACCAAAATGCACCTAATCAAACTTCCTATTCCGACAGATAGCGATAGTTCTGATCCTGGACCAAGTCTAATGCTGAGGATTAGGAGGCGACCTTCTATCCTCTCATCACCAATGAAGTGACGAAGGCCCCCAAGAAGTGAGCAAAGTAAAGCAAATTAGAAAAAAAATTTAAAAAAAAAAGACTAAGAAGAAGTCATGAATTCTCGAAGAAGAAAACGACTGAGGCTCTTGATTACTTGTTATTCTTCTTACTTTTGGTGATTACTCAATGTCCCAAGTAACAATGCAGACACAAAAGATATATCGTTGACCGTGTCCATGAAAGATTAGAAGTAAACCTTCGAGCCCAAGGCAAGTGGCCAAGTTCATGTAGATATATACACGCAAACGTTGTAACAAACAAAGATTAATTCTAGTCAACTGGGTTGCTTTCTTCTTGGGTACCTAATGTCGTGAAAAATATTAAGAAAGCCATATAAATCATTTCCTCTTAAAGGTTTCAACCTAGGAGGGACTCACCGCCATCAATTTAATCATCTAGTTAGGCTACATGACTGAGGCTGGTTCCCGGATAAAGCTCGATATGTATGTCTGAGATTATGAGGATCCAAGATTCTCTACGCATGTACCTAAAATAGCATCGAAATCTAGACGCAAATGCGATGCAATGCACGCAATCACAGGAAAGTGTAGCACCTTTCCGTCAAAGCTATGAAGCTCACGCGGTTCACATGGTGACTGCGAAACAAAATCAAGCTTCGAATTTGTTTGTCAGATTTCACACAAGCCCTTGATCCCTCGTCGATTAGATATAGGTTATTGCGCCGGTCGATTAGTCTTGCGCAACTTTAAACTGACCTGTCATGTTTTGATTTTACAGTAACTGCACTATCATCCCATATAGACTCCATCTTAACTCCTTTACCCTTGTATTTCGAGCAACCTCTCCTATAGTGCCCACTTCATCTGATGATAACATCGATGTTTCCTAAGTAGGGACCTTGAATTACAATAGCTCTTCCATCTGCTACCTCTAGACCCTATGCGTTTGTCTCTACTTCAGATAACCAATCTTTACCTCTTAATTGTTATGTGCCCCTATAGCAATGAATCAATAAAGTACTCAAATGAATCCGATAGAGATGCCATCAAGATGATGCTTTGTTTCTCATCAGGAAAGGCTTCATTAATGTTCTTCAAACCAACAATGAATTTGTTAAACTCATCAAAATGAGCTCTGGTGGATGCACCTTCAACTAGTCGGAATTAAAACATCCCTTTCAACATATACAAGTGATTATTCAAACTCTCCATCAAATAGACTCACTCAAATTCTTCCCACAATGTTGCGACATCTTTCTCTTTGGCCACTTCAATCAACACCTCATCCGATGGATTCAACAGGATCATGCTTTTCGCCTTCTTTATCAACCTAACTTATCGAGATCTTTCATCAAATCCGACTATTTATACTTGCCATCCAACGCCTTGGCCAAACCTTGGTGGTTGATAGGGCATGCATCCTAATGCTCCATAACTCAAAGTTGTTACTCTCATTGAACTTCTCAATATTAAGTCTTGCTCTATATGTATCACAAGCGCAACATTTCTAGGCCATGATAAGACCAAAAAAAAAAAACTCCAAATAAACTCTAGCGACCCAAGCTCTAGCTCTGATACCAATTGTTGTGAAAATTATGTGGAAGTTTAGGATCGTGCAATTCAAGTCTAAAGTGAGAAAAAGAAAGTACCATATAAATAAAAAAAGAATGATAAATACCTGATACTTATATGATTCTGTCCAAATGTCGATACTTATTCTATGGGGAGAGCTAGTAATCAAGAGATCCATTATAAATCTAGAGAATATGAAGTTTACAATCGCTCAAGTGTTTATCAAACCTATATTACGTCTAGATCAAGGTCACAACTGTTGTCTCACAATCTCTCACAAAAAACTCACTCAGAAACTCGTAGAGAGAAAATTATAACACTCCTCTTGCCTGCTCTAGAGTCTAATAATCCGGTAGAATTTCATCTTTTAAATCTACAATATTTGTATCCAAAATAGGAAAACCCTTTTAAGGAATCTACTCAATTTAAGAAACTACACAAGCTAGAAAACTTACTCAAACTAGTAAACTTACTTGGATAGGTTTTATTTTATGGGATCTAACTCGAGACATATTTTTAATACCCTAAAAGCTATTGAAATATGAAAAAGTAAAAAGTGTTAACGAGTGATTAATATTGAAGAATAAATGTTATAAGGAAAACAAACCAAATTTGACTCGCTCCCCGTGGTTTTCACCCCGCCAAGAAGATGTTCGATGATTCAAAGAGAGTCATTTTCAATTGAGTTATTAGCCAACTTGTGAATATTCAGCTTCGTTTCTTTAGTAAGCCTTGATTTGGTAAAGAATGACAAAATCGGTAAAGTGTGCAAAGAGCATAGAAGTGAGTTTGAATCTGACTTGGTCTATATATAGCGAGGGTTCTATACAATATGAGTATCGTCTAATCTTTGTGAGATAATAAAAAAAAAAATGAAGAAACTTGGCTGTAAAGTTTTTCAAAGGTGTCGAGATTCAAGAAGTTTCTCTCCATGAACGTAAGTTACATCAACCGTAAACAGCGTAAACATGTTGCATCAAGCTATGAACAACGTAAATAGGTCGTGCGATTTTACCTTCAACATTTATTGTGTTCGATCGGCTTGGCTTCACAACAAAAATGTAATTTATCTTGTTTTTTTTCAATTCTTCCCCCCCCACCCCCACCCCAACCCCCCCTCCCCTTTTCTCGTTTTGCTTGAGGATCTGTAGAAGATTTTTTTTTTCTTTTTCGAAGACTAGTGAAAGATATTCCCTAGCTAAACTTTTGATTGACTATTCAATGTGCCCATCACTATATATTTTTATATTAAGCGGGTTTTCCATGCATAATTGAACAACTGTATTCCATTATTCTTGTTTTAGCGAAGGTCAATGATCTCCGTGAGATTTGAATGCAACTTCATATGATAGGCTCCTCCCAACTATACAATATGTAAGCAATAGGCCCACAGAATGGAAATGTGTGGGGACAAGCCTCAACTTTCTAACATGGCTCCCACATCTATACATCCACCAAGCTACTAGGAGACATCTCTTGATAAAAAAACTCAATTAAGCAATTTATTGCATCCGAACCCTCGGATGAACTGAAGTAAAATCATATAATTGGAATTTGGAACTTGGGAAAATTGTATAAAAAGTCCAAAACCTATTGCACTTTTTTCCAATTCAGTCATAAACCTTTTCACCTTTTGCCAATTGAGTCCATTTGGCCAATTTTGGCTCGAAATCGCAGATATGGACATTGGCCGTCCTACGTGGCACCGCGCGGTACTAACGTAAATAATTTTTAATAATATTTTATTATTCTTTTGACATTAACTGTTTAAATTTTTCTTTCTTTTCTTTTCTTTCTCTATTTTTTTTTCATCTTCTTCCTCTGTGGTCACCGGCCTCCTTGATGGCCGGTGACCGGCCACAAGGAGAGCCGGTGAGGCTCACCCTCATTGGATTTGGCGAGGGCTGACCTCGCTAACCGAGCGAGGTTCGCCTCGCAAGGACGAGATTGCCAAGGCACGCGAGGTACTCTCGCCGGTATTATCAAAATATCAAAAAAATAATAAAATATTATTAAAAACTGTCCACATCAGCGCCGGCGGTGCCACATCGGACGGCCGCCATCCACATCAACAATTTTCAGCCAAATTTGGCCGGATGGACTCAATTGTGAAAAGGTTCAGGGGTCAATTGGTAAAATTGAAAGATTTATGATTGTATTGGCAAAAATACAATAAGTTTATGACTTTTAGATAATTTTCTCCTAAATTATTGCATGCGAACCTTCGAATGAACTGAAGTAAAATGATATAATTGGAACTTGGAGGTTCTTTGGTCGTAGTTGAATTAACCAATTCAAAGGACCAGCTATGTCAAGAAACTATAACTTAGTACCATGTTTCACTCCTTATCCACTTGGTTATCTATTTTCTTTGTTTATATTTCTATATGATAATTTATCATATGATAGAAGCCATTTAAACTGCTAGACAGCGAAGCTTGGGCTACCGCCATGGAGAACACACCCCTCAGGACCCTTTCTCCATTTGATTAATGTCCTCACGCAAACGTGCGAGAGGTTAAGAAAGTCTTGTTAATATAAAATATGGACGTGCACTTCTCGTTCCTTGAAGAAACCTAACGATGGCTTGTGATTTAAATACGGACGCATCCTCTCTATTTCGTGCATCGTCGAAGCATTGCAAGACCTTCGAAAGGCTTTCGCCGGACAATGGCACGACGACAAGAAGCCGTGTTTCTGCTCGCATGGGCTTTTGCTCTTGTAGCTGTGTCTTCAGCTGCAATCGTGGAACACACATTCAATGTAACGTGCTTTTCCTCCTTTTACTGCTTCTTTTCCAGCTATACGCAACTTGTACTTTAACGGACGAGGGTTTTAAACATCGGCCCGTATTGTGTTCCTGTTCTATCCAATGGTGCTCATGTACAACGTGATTTGTTTCAGGTGGAAAACGTGACGGTGAGTAAATTATGCCGGAAGCATGTGATCACTGCAGTGAACGGAACTCTTCCCGGCCCAACGATTCAAGTGACGGAGGGTGACACCCTCGTCATTCGTGTCCACAACATGTCCCCGTACAACATCACTATTCACTGGTAATCAATCCTGACTATAGAACTGCATGAAAAATCTGACATACGAACAGGAAGTTTGACTTTGACAAAGTAAAACAACAGCTTTTTTCTTTTTATGTTGTTTTCTATCATGACGTTCCAGCTGTTTTTTTATGGTTAACAAGGTAAAGAAAGATGGAATGAGCAATTGCTTTTTGAGCAATTGCTTACGATGGCATGCGACTATGAGACCTCACCTCGCCCACGAGTTTGTCAACTAGATTTGCTTAAATTAAATAAAAAAATGGGAAAATTGGGGAAAAAAAACTTTGTCTTGATGAACTTCCCAAGTGCTACTTTGCGAAATGTTGTTTATATTCACTGTTTATATTTTCCCCTAAAGTCGACAAAGATGACACTTTGCTCAATTCCTATAGGCATGGAGTGTTTCAACTATTGAGTGGCTGGTCAGATGGACCGAATTACATTACGCAGTGTCCCATACATCCCGGACACAGTTATATCTACAAATTTACCATCACTAAACAGGAAGGCACGCTCTGGTGGCATTCTCACGTCTCGTTGCTCCGCGCCACAGTCTATGGTGCTCTCATCATCCTCCCCAAGTCGGGTCACTACCCATTTCCCACACCTCACAAACAAATTCCGATTATTCTAGGTATATTGCTCTTTCCCCAATATTTAATGTATATATCCCAAAAAGTTGTTTCATCCGAGTAAAACATCTTTCTATATCATCAAATGGATCTACAAGAACCGGTAAAACCATTTCTGCGTTCATGATTCTTGGTTAAGTACTTGACTGAGTAATCAACCAGACTAGACTAGTCATGGAACGCGAATTCCATGACTGTATAATTTGTCGACATGATGATCAAATTAAGTTTGCTAGATTCGACTATGCTGTAACAGATCACTTTCTCTATGGAAACTTGACAAGCTGTTAAATGATTTACATGGTACTGCAGGAGAGTGGTGGAACGCAAATGTGATTGATATAGAGAACCAGGCCCAAGCGCTTGGCGTGGGGCCTAACATTTCAGATGCATTCACCATCAATGGAAGGCCCGGAGATCTCTATCCTTGCTCCAAAAAGCGTAAGCAATTACAACAACATACTGCAATTTCAACTTGAACAAAGTTCAGAGAAAATTCGATTGTTGGTTTGTTGATATTTGATACTTTTTTCTCTATTCGCGCAGATACCTACAAGCTGAAGGTGGTGCATGGAAAGACCTACATGCTTCGCATCATCAATGCTGCACTCAATAACCAACTCTTCTTCAGGATAGCCAATCACAAGTTCACCGTCGTCGCCGTCGATGCCTCATACACCGACCCCTACGTCACCGATGTCGTCGTCCTTGCCCCGGGCCACACAGTCGACGTGCTCCTCACCACAGACCAGACCCCGGGGGCCTACTACATGGCAGCCCGCCCGTATGTTAGCGCCCAAAATGCTCCGCCGCCCGATAATACCACCACGACTGGGATTCTCATTTACGACCAGTTTCCCTACACAAGCCCAATCATGCCTCTCCTGCCGGCACTCAACGATACCCCGACGGCCCACAAGTTCTATAGCAACTTGACCAGCCTCGTGGGGAGCCCGAACTGGATGCCGGTGCCGACTAAGCTGGACGAGCAAATGCTCGTGACCATCGGATTGAGCATCTCCCCGTGCGGATCCAATGCCACGTGTCAGCTTCTCCCGAATGTCCCAACCCTCCGGTTGTCGGCAAATATGAACAACGCGTCGTTCCAATTCCCCACAAGCCTGTCCCTCTTGCAAGCACACTTCTTCAACGTGAAAGGGATCTACACCGCCGATTTCCCCGACCAGCCTCCGCTGAAATTCGATTACACGAACCCCGCCAACAGCAACAGCACAGCGTTGGCGTTCGTGCTCAAAAGCACAAGGGTGAAGCAAGTGAAGTACAACGCGACAGTCGAGATCGTGTTCCAGGACACGACCATCATCGGCGCAGAGAATCACCCTATGCACTTGCACGGCTTCAATTTTCACTTGGTGGGACAAGGGTTCGGGAACTTCGACCCGGTCAAGGATCGGAAGAAGTACAATCTCTTTAACCCAGTGATACGTAACACGGTCGCTGTGCCCGTGGGAGGTTGGGCTGCCATCAGATTCCGAGCAAATAATCCAGGTAATATTAATGAAAGTAAATACTATATGGAGTAAAATTTATTGTTTCTTAAGAGTATGATTGATTAGTGTTTGGAAAAAAAGACTAGACATAATAATCTTTTCACAAAAACAAAACATGGGACGGTTCGTCTTTTTCAGAAGTCGATATAGTTCGTCATTGAGTAATTATATAGGGTTTAATCCAAACATGATCAACGATCACTTGCAAATGTAGCGACCACATAGAGCCATTTCTCGTAAGAAATTAAGCAAGATACAAGGGACTAAGTTTGCGAGACATCGGGCAAGCTAATCATTATCTTTAAGTTAACTTTTCAACCATATGCATTCTGCAATCACATGTAACATGTCATCCCCTTGTCTGTGTCATTTACCAATTCCTAGTTACGGATATCGTGTGGCTTCAACTTTTACATCATGGATGTTTCTCAGTGGGAGGGAGTTGGTAAAGGAATGAGTTTGGTATATTAGATGGAATGAGTTGAAGGATAGTGACAGTGCAACAAATCCCTTAGACCATTTCAATGATGAATTCAAAATATAACTTACTGAAAAATAATTACATTTTATCACCCCAAACAAAAAGATTATTGTATCTCATTCCTTTTGTAAATTATGCAGGTGTATGGATATTGCACTGCCACCTGGACGCCCACTTGCCGCTGGGACTAGCGACGGCTTTTGTCGTCGAGAATGGGCCGACTCGGTCGTCGACATTGCCTCCACCTCCTCCTGATCTGCCTCAATGTTAGGACCGAGAGTACACTGAACACGCTATATTTAATTTTTCCATTCTTTCTTCGTGCAACCCCATTGTGATACACAGTCATCTCTAGCTTCATTGCTTCGACAATGCCAATACACTGAAGCGAGTTCATGTTTTCTCAACCTTTGGTTCAAATACATTCCTTATTTGACCCTGCCACCGCCGTTGGCTGGTGATTTCGTGTCTTTCATATATCTGAATGCCTACCTCTTTCCCATCTATTTATGTAAAAACATAATAAAAGAGGAAATAAAGTGAAGAGTCTCTTGCATCCACCATGGTTGTAACTTTATAAGTTATTGAGATCCGAACTGTATATTTCAATGTCTTCCAATACAATAACCTGGTAGGAAGGAAGAGGTTGAGGTGGCTTTGAAAGTGGAGATGTGCGGAGGGAAATGAAGTTTGCTTGGGTAGTAGATGGGCTGGAGCAAGTGATTGGACACCCAATGAGCTTTGCCAGATCTTCGAAAAGCGATCTTGGGTTGCAAATCAATCGTAAAATAAACTCCGACTTTTATAAATTTTTGTATTGAGACAAGACCTTATTCTTAAAAATTTATTAGAAAGGACATAGGGTTGGACTTTTATACATTAGTATCATTTCTTAAGACAATCGATATTGTCTTCACACCAAGTAATTTGTCATGCCCATCAAGGTACAAGGCCCATGGAAAGGTCTAATATAGAGTAATGTCATAAAAATGATTTTCCATTTGTTACTCCTTGTTTAATATTCAAGCTTCATTTGTTTGATGGAAATTTTCCTCATTTTCTTGTGTTTAAATCATTTAGGAAAACAAGTCAACGAAAAACCTTAGACCTATGCAAAAAGCTATGCAAAATTTCAAAAAATAGTTTACTCTTTTAAGAATCAGAAATTAATTACCAAATTATGACTATACATCGGCGCTTGCATCAAAGACCTCGACACTTGGACATGGGGACTCTATGCTTAGGCACGGGAACCCCGACACCCATACCCGATACTAAGATATGTCTCAAGCTTAAGTCCAAAAAGGAAGTATTCCTAATTCAAGTAAGTCTCCAAGTTCGAGTGGTTTCCTAGATTGACTAGGATTCTTAACAGAGATTTTCTATTTTTGATCAAATTCTTTTCCACATAAGAAGTGTTTTCGTTGTGAAGAGCATTCAAGAGGCGGCTTATTTATGAATTCCACTGTGAAGCAATCCAAAGTAATGAAAATAAATCTTGTGGTAAAATTTATAATATCTTTGTGTGATTGAGGGATAATAGATTATATTTGTGAGTCATTGTGAGGACAAAATACTGTGAGTTATTGGGTATGATCCAGGGTTGCGAAACACTGAGATTATTTAAGTGACTCGAATACGGTTGTAATATTTGTTGTGTTGGTTGAGAATTCTATGGGTATCTTCCCGACGAGTAGGTTCCACCAACCGAACGACGTAACTGTGTTGTCCGATTAATTTTCTTGTTATGTTTATTTTATTATTAAATCACTTGCTTTTCACAACAAAGGCCATCAATGATGAGCCCAAGTGCAAAGAGGCTGGGCTTGGGTTTTTTGAGCCTAGGCTCGAGACCTTGTTGTGTGTGCCCGGGTCTCGATGGCCACGCCTAGGACCCTAGTGCCTTGCCTGGGTCAATGGCAACCATGCCCGAGTACCTAACTCCCAGACCCAAGTTAACCAATGTCCCGGCTCAGGTCCATCAAGATCGTGCCCGAGTCCAAGACCCTGATGCTCATGCTTGGGTCGTCGGAGGCCATGACTCAATACCCTACTTCCATGCCCAAGTCACTAGTGCCCCGGAGCCTGAGTCCATTGGGTTGGGCTCGAGTCCACAGAGGCCGAGCTCGGTCTTCGCGACCATGCCTGGGTACCTAGCCCCCGCCTTTAAGCCACTTGCACCTTGGTTCGGGTCCGTCACGACTAGACTGGAGTCCGTAAAGGCTAGGCCCAAGACCCTAATGCCCATGCTTAAGTTCCCAATGGCCGTACCTGGCTCCTGCACCCATGTCACCAGTGCTCAGGCCTGGGTCCACAGAGGCTTGGCCTAAGATCCCGGTGCCTGTGCCTAGGTCCTCAGTAGCCATGCTTAGGAATCTGGTGCTCTTGCTTGGGTTCGCGGGGGCCATGCCCTGGTACTTGGCTCATGCACCCAAGTCAGTAGTGCCCGGGCCTCGGTCCACAAGGGCTGAGGGCTCAGGTCCCTCAAGGTTTGGTGCAAGACCCCAATGCTCATGCTTGGGTCTCAAGAAGCCGTGTCTCGATATTTGGCTCCCATGCCTAAATCACTAGCGCTCGGGCCCTAGGCCATCGAGGCTGTGCTTGAGTCCTCAAAGGCCGGGCCAAGGGCTCTAGTTCCATGTCTGACTCCCCATGACCATGCCTAAATACTTAGCTCCCACCTTGAAGTCACTAGCGCTCAGGTCCAAGTCTATTGAGCCAAGCAAGAATCCATAAAGGCTGGGCCCTAAAACCCAGTGCCTGCATCCGGGTCCCCGATGGCTGTACTCAACTCTTGCACCCATGTCACCGGCACTTCGGCCTTAGTCCCCAAAGGCCGAGCTTGGGTGTCTAGAGGTCAAGCCTAGGATGTCGGTGCTCGTACCAGGGTAACAGACTCCTACGTTCAAGGCAATGGACCCAAGACAAAGTCCACAGAGACTGGGCCAAGTTCCTAGTGGCTAGGCCCAAGACCTTGTTGCTATGCTTTGGTCCTTGGCGGCCATGTTGAGTACCCAACTCCTACGCCCAAGTGATTAACGACTAAGCCTAGGTCTAGAAAGGCCAGGCACGGGTCTCTCGAGACCAGGTCCAGGACCCCATGCTCATGCTTGGGTGTCCGGCCTTGTATCCAAGTCTCTAGCACCTGAGCCTAGGTCCATCAAGGTTGGGCCTGATTCCTCAACGACCAAGCTAGGGTCTACAAAGGCTAGGCCCGAGAAACCCTGGCTAATAGTGCACGTCTCTGTAGATATATAGAAACAAGCTTTCCATTCCAATTGAAGGAAAATAATTTTCAATTCAATTTCAGATTTCAATGAAATCTTGAAAAACATTATCATGTTCCTAGAAAATGACTTCTCGAAAAACATATTCAAAAAATGCCAAATTTTACCCGAAACAAACTTGAGCTTATGCTGGATTTTTCTAACACATTTGGTTTAACAAACCAATTTAAATCCTCCAATTCAAATCGGTTTTGTACATGAGTTCAAACTCGAAATAGAATTCAACGGAGCCCCATATCATTATCCCTTCAAAATAATTTTTAAAAAAATTGCGTAGGGACAAGCCTCAACTTTTCAACATGGCTCCCCCGTCAATATCCACCAAACCACAATGAGATCTCATCGGCCATTCAAGAAGAATGAAAAAGCAATTAAATTAACATAGTTAACCAAACTATTGCATCCGAACCTTCAAATGAACTGAGTTTAGGTAGAAGAAGAACACCGAGGTTGTTTAATCGTAGTTGGATTAACCAATTCAAAGGACCGACTATGTTACGAAAACTATAACATAAGTTGCATGGCTCTCTTCTCCTTATTCACTTGTTCATCTTTGTTTATTTCTATTAATAGAAGCCATTTAAACTGCAGGACAGCGAAGTTTGTCCTACCGCCATTGAGAGCACACCCTCAGCAGGGACCCTTTCTCCATTTAATTAATGTCCTCACGCAACCGGGTGAGAGCTTGAGAATAAGTCCATGATCTGCATTGTCATTATTCATGACAAAAAAAACAAAAAAAAATCACCATCGAAGCCTTTCCCAATCGCAACAAAGTTTGATTGGTATAAGATTATGGATGTGCACATCACGTTCCCCAGAGGAAACCTGGGACGGTTTGTGATTCAAACACGAACGCCATCGTCGAAACATTATGTGACCTGCAAAAAGCTTGTACCAAACGATGGCGCGACAACAAGCTGTGTTTCTGCTTGCATGGGCTCTTGCTCTTGGAGTTATGTCTTCGACGGCTTCAGCTGCGATTGTGGAACACATATTCAATGTAACGTGCTTTCCTCCTTTTAGAACTTCTTTTCCAACTATGTACTTACCACCACGAGGGTCTTATGTGCCGACCCGTTTTATATTCTTGTTCTATCCAGTCTTTTTTGTGTGCAGCATGATTTTGTTATGCATGCAAGACCTAATTTGATCGCTCATTTATCTATCTCTTAGTTCTCTGGGAATAACTATATCGAAGTAGCATTCGGAGTCTGTATAGTCTCACTTCTTGATGACCAGGTGTCCCCTGACTGCGAAAGCATGGATTAAACTTTGATTGCACGAAAAAGAAAAGCTGGCACGGGAGTAATTTTCTCCCTTTCAATGATCAATTTCATTCATCACGTCGATGCTCTCTTATCTAGAATTGACTTTCCTCTCAATTATCCACTCAAGGGGGTGTTCATATATGGGTGCAATGTTTTGTTTCAGGTGGAGAACGTGACGGTGAGGAGATTATGCCAGAAACATGTCATCACTGTAGTGAATGGAGCTCTTCCTGGCCCAACGATTCGAGTCACGGAAGGTGACACCCTCGTCGTTCATGTCTTAAACAAGTCCCAATACAACGTCACTATTCACTGGTAAGCAGTTTTGACCATGCAACTGCGTCAAATAAACTACATATGCACAGGAAGTTTGACCTTGACAAAGTACAAGGATAGTCTTTCTTTTCTGTTGTTTTCTTTCATTGCCTTCCAGCTGTTTATAATTGTTAACGAGACAAAGAAAGATGGAATCAGCAAATTGCCTTTTTACTAAACCATTGTTGATGACGTACGATCATGAGACTTCACCTCACCCGCGAATTGGTGAGCTATTCGCTTAAAATAAATGAGTATCAGAATAATGGGGGAAATAAACACCTTTGTCCCGATGAACTTCCCAAGTGGCTCCTTTGCGATGTCATTCATCTTCATCTTTGTCCCCTAAAGTTGCTAATGATGACACTTAGCTTGACTTACGCAGGCACGGAGTGTTTCAACTATTGAGTAGTTGGGCAGATGGACCGAATTATATTACGCAGTGTCCGATACGTCCCGGACATAGTTATATCCAAAAATTTACTATCACTAAACAGGAAGGCACGCTCTGGTGGCATGCTCACGTCTCGTTGCTCCGCACCACCGTCTACGGCGCTCTCATCATCCTCCCCAAGTCGGGTCACTACCCATTTCCCACACCCCACAAAGAATTTCCTATTATTTTAGGTATCACTCTTCACCCAAATTCTAGACTAGTCAAAGAAAGCGGATTCCATGATTGGATGATTTGTCAACATGATAATCAAATTAAGTTTGCTAGACTCGATTTTTCCAGAATTAATCTCTTTCAATATAAGCTTGACAAGCTGTTAAATGTGTGGTATCACAGGAGAGTGGTGGAACGGAAATGTGATCGATCTGCAGAACCAGGCACAGGCTCTCGGCGTGCCGCCTAGCAATTCAGATGCATTCACCATTAATGGAAGGCCCGGAGATCTCTATCCTTGCTCCAAAAAGCGTAAGCAACCACGAACAACATACCGCATCTTTCTCCTTCATATCACCTTGATGATTAAAAATAATTGCACAAGGTTCAGAGGAATGTTGAAATGGAACAAAGGTCAGAGAAATTTTAATTGGTGGTTTATCGATAATTAATAATTAGACACGTTTGTTTTCCTGCGCAGACACCTACAAGGTAAAGGCAGTGCATGGGAAGACCTACATGCTTCGCATAATCAATGCTGCACTCAATAACCAACTCTTCTTCAAGATAGCCAATCACAGATTCACTGTCGTCGCTGTCGACGCCTCATACACCGACCCCTACGTCACCAACGTCGCTGTCCTGGCCCCGGGCCAAACGGTTGACGTGCTCCTCACCACAAACCAGACCCCGGGGGCCTACTACATGGCGGCCCGCCCATATGATAGCGCCCAAAACGCACCGCCGCCTGATAACAGCACCACGACTGGGATCCTCGTTTACAACAAGCTGCCCTACACGAGCCCGATCATGCCTTTCTTGCCGGCCCTCAATGACACCCCCACAGCCCACAAGTTCTCCTCCTCCTTGACCAGCCTCAGGGGGAGCTCGAATTGGATGAGGGTGCCGACTAAGGTGGACGAGCAAATGTTCATAACAGTTGGACTGAGCCTCTCCCCGTGCGGGCCGACAGCCACGTGTAAGTTGATCCCCAATATTCCCTCCCTCCGGTTGTCCGCAAACATGAACAACGCGTCGTTCCAATCCCCGACAAGCCTGTCCCTCTTGCAAGCGCACTTCTTCAACGTCAAAGGGATCTACACCACTGATTTCCCCGACCAGCCGCCGCTTAACTTCGATTACACGAACCCTGCCAACAGCAACAACCTAACGTTGGCATTCGCTCCCCGGAGCACAAGGGTGAAGCAAGTGAAGTACAACGCAACGGTTGAGATCGTGTTCCAGGACACAACCATCATCGGCGCGGAGAATCACCCTATGCACTTGCACGGTTACAACTTCCACGTGGTGGGACAAGGGTTCGGGAACTTCAACCCAGTCCAGGATCGGAAGAAATTCAATCTCTTCAACCCAGTGATACGTAACACGATCGGTGTGCCCGTGGGTGGTTGGGCTGCCATCAGATTCCAAGCAAATAATCCAGGTAATAGTATTCTCTCTTTCATTATATTAATTATGATAGCATATACCACGTAAAATCATAATGTTAGAATATCGTTGGGGTCCAAAGAGGGATTTATTGTTTGTTTAAGTATGATTGACTAGTGTAATCGAGTAATTATATAGGGTTTAATCTAAGCATGATTATTTCCTAGCCAAAAAAGAAGATAATCAAGTATGATCAATGATCAGTTGCAAGTGTAGCGGATACATAGAACCTTTTCTTGGGAGTAATTAAGCAAGATAAAAGGGACTAAATCCACGAAACATGAAGCAATGTAATCATTATATTTAAGTTAACCTGTCAACCATTGTATTTTGTCCTTCATAGTGACGGTTCATACGTTGATATCATTTGGCTTGAACTCACATTTTTGTATTTGCAAGCATGAATGTTTTCCAGGGTAGGGTGTCAGAATATTAGACGGGACGAGTTGAAGGATAGTGACGGTTCAACAAATCCTTTAGACCAGTTCGATGATGAACGCAAAATATAACATACTGAAAAATCATGATTATTTTAATCACTCTAAACAGGTAGATTAATGTATCTCAACTTTTTGTGTATTCTATAGGTGTGTGGATATTGCACTGTCATCTGGACAGCCACTTGGCGATGGGACTGGCGACGGCTTTCGTAGTCGAGAACGGGCCCACCCTGTCATCGACATTGCCTCCGCCTCCTCCTGATCTGCCTCAGTGTTAGGACCGAGAGCACGCGGAACACGTTTCTAATTTGTCCGGTGGCTCGGCTATCTCTTTCCATTCTTTCCTCATGCAACCCCGCAACCCCATTACGATCAGTCATCCATCGCTTCGTTTCTTCGAAATGCCGTTACGATGAAGAGATTTCATGTTTTCCCACCCTTCGGTTCAAATGCTTTTGGCTTATTTAAAAACGCAATAACAGAGGATGCAAAGAGAAGAGTCTCTTGCATCCACTTCGGTTGTAACTCTAACTATTTGAAATCCGATATATGTGTTGCAGGATGTTCTTCTACAGCAACCAGGTGGGTTCATATGTTGTACCAAAAGAAAAAGTAAAGAAGAAAACAAGTAATTAAACGAACTGAAATGAAGTCTGGCTTGTGTGGTAGGAGTAAGTGATTGGACACCATTAGCTTTGCCAGATCCTTGAAAAGTGATCATGGGTTTTATACAAGCATTGAAACAAGACCTGGTCAGATAGAGTTTATAAATAAATACAATTTCTTGAGCCCATCCAAATTGGTCTCGCACCTAGCAAGCTGTCGAGAATTTCGCTACAAGGCCCATGGGAAGGTCTAATTACAAATTAATGTCATGATGAATGGGATTTTCCATCTGTTACTCCTTGTTTAGCAGTCAAGTTGAGGGCAGCCTTGCTGTTCAGGCATTGCCCGCCTATGCGATGTCCGTTTTCATAATACCCATATCCATTTGTTTAGCCATTAAGAAAAATATTGCCTACATTCGGTGGAAGAATTCAGAAGCTAGAAAGGGCATTCACTCGAAGAGATGGGTGCGTCTTGCATAGAAGAAATGTTCTATAATCTGTATTGCACTGAAGTTCTCAAAGTCGAATGCGACTTGGGCCAAGGCCTACCAACCAAATTTTCTTTATTTCAGATTGAAAGCTAAATGGAGTCTTTCCCCCATTTTCCTCTTCTTCCACTTCAATTAGCGCCTTTGAATGCTGCATCAATTTCTACAACAAGGACATATCCTCTCACCTTTACGACCTGCGATAAAATTGCTAGTTTGGTCCATTTGACATCCGCCCATCTTTTTCACAGCCCTCAAATTTCAGTTGTCTTGCCCTCCCCATTTTTTGTTCACATAAAATGAGGTACAAATATAATACATGTCATGCTACGATAAGCGCAGTATAAACATAAGTTAAAGATAGTTATGTTGGCACAAAACGAAAAGGAAAAAAAGAAGAAGATAAAGACGTCTAATCATAACCCAGTGCACTATTTAGCTAAGGTATATGCGGTGGCGTTACGCAAGAGAAAAAAGATAATGTAATTACTGCATAATTTGACCTTTATGTATATGCATCATTGCAATGTTTACCAAGAAACGAGGAATGGGATGGAAACCGGAGGCATTGACTCAAACTCCCGACCTTAAATGGCTTTAGTGATCGGTGACTACAGTTTGCAGAAATGACAAAGGATTTAAAGTGATCAAGTGCTCTACAAATCGAAACTCGTATCTTGAAACCCTCAAACCAGTCGGTAGTAGAAGAAGAGAAAACATTTATCTGGAAAGTGACTGTCCAACCTTACTCAGTCTTTGACCGGAGAAGCACAACCACGTCGGGTGCTCAACCAGTCAAAGGAGGATTGTGGAACTTTGATGGCTGAATTTACATACTAATAGTGTTGCTGACTGGTCAGCCAATGCCCACCGCAAAAGCTTATTGTCTTCCAACCGGGCCTTGTGTTGCCACAGGATTTTTGGATCTGATTATGTGAAGATGCATGTAATGCACTTTCTAGTACCACTAAACCAAAGGAAGAGATTTTCCTGACCAAAAGGAAAATTTTGACAGCAGGCGTTTAGAACTTTCTCGACAAACAAGCGCCGCTAGTGTGGTATGGCAGAATTAGTGGATGCTTCATCAAACATGGGTGAGAAAGAGCATGATTGTCTCTCTGTATGTAGATGATCTCATTTATACAAATAAGAATGAGAACATTTTTTAAGAATTCAAAGAAGACATGATGAAGATATTCAAGATAACAGACTTGGTGTAACAGTCCGAATTTTCGATCCTTTTCCCGGAATTTATTAAATGAATATTTTGACCAATGCACTTATAGTGAGATCTCACCCGGAACCGCGCATTCTCGGGATGCTAACCTTAGGGGTAAGGCCATTACGGGATTGAGTTCGCACGACCAAAGAACTCGACCTTGGTTCGACCTTCGACCATAAGGATTGTTGAGGGAATGTTTTGGGCCAACAGAGAGCGATCTAATTGATTGATCGTGTCCGAAGGGAACTAGCGACAGACCCTCGCAATTACATGACAATCGAGGTCGCCTTGGTTCGAGCAAACTTAAACGTGATTTGACTCAGTGTCGGTCACGGGTCGAGAGCGCGTAATCCCAATGAGCCACCCGTTAGCAAGAGATAAGCTAAAGTCGCGATTGTTCGATTCTAGTCATTTCTTGGAATTCGGGCCCGGGAATCGAGAATTTTGAAAGTGACAATTTTGAGCGACCGATGACGTTTTTGGCTTGGCCAACCTTGGGGCCACCCATTTCTACAAAAAAAATGAATTTCGGTCAGGGGCCGGAAAAATGACCATTTTGCCCCTGGGACCGCGAACGAATTTTAAGGACTGGATTAAGTTGGGGGACTGAGAAATACCCAGTATGGCCGAAAATTGAAGGACAAGAATGCCCCTCTCCCTTTTTGGATAATTACATTTTTGCCCTTTGGCTTGTTGGATACGATTTAACGGAGGCCGTCGGATAAGGATAAGATTAAATCTCGGCCATTGGATCGGAGGGGTAGTTGGAAGGGTATTTTGGTAAATTCCGAGGTGCAATTATTGGGTTAGATTATTTATATTCTCTCTCTCTCTCTCTCTCTCTCTCTCTCTCTCTCTCTCTCTCTCTCTCTCTCTCTCACCCCCCTCCCCACCGATCGGTCTCTCTCTCTCCGCTCCCCCGTGCATGAGCCCCTTGGCCGGCCACCAGTCCGCCCAGCCGCCTGGTCGCCGCCGGCCAGCCGTTCGCCGCCACTGCCCTTCCTTCCTCAGCCGCGCCTCACCACCACCCGTCTCCCTCTCTCTCTGTTTTCCTGTTCCGATCAGCCCAGCCACCGCCGAGCCACCTCTGGCCGCCCTCCCCTGTCCTGTACGACCAGGACGCCGCCCCCAACCGCCCGTGAGCCACCCTCCAGCAGCCCGTCAACGGAGGAGCAGCCGCACGCCCGCCTAGTCGCCGGCGACGCTGCTGCTGCTGTTGCTGGTGGTCCGGCTGTTCCAGCCCCTGTCCGGCCAGTTTGCCCTGTTTTTCTTAGGTAAGTGACCTCCCCAAATGTCGCCTAGGACTTCGGGTATTGCTAGGCTCGTTTAGGGCTCGGTTTAGGGGGTTTATGTGGCTGTTTTGGGCGTAGATCAAGGCTGGATGTTCGGGTTGTTATGGACTGATTTAGTGGTTGAAAATCTGTGGTTTGGTAGGTTCGGATATGGCTGAGATAGGGCTGAGGTGTTATGGATTGATTGTGGATAAATTGTGCGATTGATTGGTAGGAATATGCCTTGAATCGAATTGTGTATGTGGTTGTGCAAATTGTGGATGTTGGCTGGTTTAGAATATGTTCTGGGCTGATTGTGGTTTGGCTGTGTGCCTCGTGTGTGTGGCCGTGAGATGTGGTGGTGTGGTAGTGCGATTGCGCAATGAGTTCGCGTGTCAAGTATGGGTGTTTGTGTGGTGCTTGTGTGGTGAGAATGTATATTTGCGAAGTGTATGTGGAATGTGAGATTGGGTATGGCCGTGTGTACGTGTGGTACGTGTGGAGAGTGTGGAACGAAGGTACGGGAATGTAGGATTGGTTGGAAAAGGTCCGTCTTGAGGCGTGTTCGTTTACGCGGGACGATGCCGTCCCTGACGAGGTGACGATGCCCGGCCCGACGGGGTGTCGATGCCTGACGAGGTCAGAAGACCGTTGGCCTGATGCGTTTTACGCGGGCGCGGTAGAAGGGAAGTTGAGTGTAGGATTCCGTCCTGAGGCGTGTTCGTTTACGCGGGACGATGCCGTCCCTGACGAGGTGACGATGCCCGGCCCGACGGGGTGTCGATGCCTGACGAGGTCAGAGGACCGTTGGCCTGATGCGTTTTACGTGGGCACGATAGTGGTGGAAAAGTTGAGAATGAATTGGAATTGGCAGACGTGGGGGAATTGACGCATGGCGTGAGTTCGCATGCGAGTGTGGTTGGTATTGCATAGAGTAGTGTTCGATTATAGGGTAAAAACTACTAGGCATGGTATGGGACGTGCCCAAGTGGGTTTTGCATTATAATCGAGGCACGCGCGCGGCTGTGTTGTATTACTGTGGAATGTGGACTGTAATGTTATCTAACATGCAGGGACGTGCATGATGGGTTCCAGGTAAGAGTGCATGTGTTTGTGAGCATGATTGATCGTTGGGTGTTATGTGTGTTTCGTCTGGCGGTACGTGAGTGCCTACGTGGGGTTTGGGGTTGTACACTTATTGAGATTCGTCTCATAGTTGTATAATCCACAATTTCAGACCCCCAACCTTAGACCCAGGAGGCCCGTCTCCCCTTTTTGGAATTTTGAAGAGCTGCCCATGGTGCCTAGTGGAGCTGTAGGTGATCCTCTGGAGCAAAAGCCCGAAGACTCAAGCGCAGAACGGAAAATGGCGATCGGTAGTTTCCCCCTAGGGTATTTTAGGGGTTGTGCAGAATAGGTCGACCTATAGGGAAGCTAAGTTAACCGGGCCATCTGACCTTTTTGTTATGTCGGTGGTTCGAATGCTTGTCTGTTAAGTTTGCTGTAATACTCTGTTTGTATGCGTGGTGTAATAGCGTTGTATATATAAATGAATAGTTGTTGTTCTTTGACTGTCCTGTAGTCGTCTTTTATAGTCAGGGGTTTTGTGTTCGCTTCCGCATGTGTTTCTGATGTTTGGGTTGGGTCGGCGATGTTCCTGGGACGTCGCAACTATTCGACCAGAGCAGGGGATGTCGCGAGCTCGTTAGGGTTCGGGGCGTGACACTTGGGCTTGATGCATTGAGATCAACCAAAATGAATAAGGAGTTTTCATCTCACAGAAGTATTGGCAAAACAATCTTATGAAATTTTAATGATTCTAGGAATTCCTTGGACAGTACCAACGGATCGTTCATAAAGGTATGTGCTATTATCAGGTGATAAGGATCAACATTTCATACCATTATCAAATCTTGGAAGATGCTGGTAAATCATTCATCTCAAGATGACCGTTAATCGAGAAGAAAATAGCC